TGTCTGGAGGATTTGCCTAGAAACGGGAGCTGATCTAAAATATTTACAAAAGTAAAACCCGTTGGGGAACTCTTAATTAGACTCCATTAAAAATGAATGGTTACAGGAGTCCCCAGAGGAAATAAATAATTCAATATTTCCAATATGTTTGACGAGTGCTTTTTAGTCTGGACATTTTTTTCTTTCCTTTCCCCGCCCTTTTTCTATTTATTTTGTTTTTTTTTTAATTTATGTTAGGGCTGTGCGTTATTCGTGGCTGGGTTTTGATGGGCGCTGCGGAACAGCCCCCGCGGAGCCCCGGGGCGGCCGGCGGAGCTGAGCATCGCTTCGCCCTCCCTTCAAACCCTGCTCCGGCCGGGTCCCCGCGTGTGTCCCCGGCTCCTCGGCAGGGCCCGGGCTCGGGGCTCGCCTCACCGAGCATCCCCACCCCGAGCTTTGCTCTCGCCTGCTCCCGCTGCCCCTCCGCTGTTTGGTTCGGTGCAGGAGGAGCGGGAACGCCGGAGGGGTTCGGGTATGGGGTCCTGCCGTGCCGCCCCTTCCCGACAGCGGCTTTGTGCCCCTGGGCTGCTCGGAGCCGCGTTCCTTCCCCGCTGTTCCCCTCCCGGCCCCGGCAGCCGTTTCTGCCTCCTCTGCCGGGGAGAGCGGCCAGGGCTTTCCTCGGGCTCTGCAAGAGGCACGGGTGTTCTGAGAACGCACCGAGAGCCCGGTTCGCTGGYTCCCGGCCCCCGGGGAAGGGGCAGCTCCCGGAGCAGCTGCCGCAGGTCCCGAAGCGGGGAAAGCTCCGCACAGAGCAGCGCTCGGGGCCGGCCCATCCTCCGGTCAGTGCGGCAAAGCTCCGGCACCACCGCTGTCCCGGGACGGGCTGGGGGTGATCGCTTTGCAAATGAGAGCCCAGCGTGTTTCACAGCCACAGCTCAGTCCTTCCGTAMGATTCCTGGTGAAATCTGGCAAACCTGTGGTGCTGCTTCCACCTGTTTGTGCTGCTGCCCTTCAGGTAGGAGCATCAGGGTTTAGCAGTGTGATTTACCAGCTCTGTGAGGAGAAGCAGCTCCACAAAAAAACTATAGGTCTGAGAGAAGGTGGTAACATCAGTGGTGTTAGCAGAGCACATGAACATAGCAGGACCTATTTCATCTCAGCTGGGAGCCAAACTCWTCCCCAGTGCTCCTCAGGACAGCTCTGAGTGGGGAAATGTGAAGATCTGTTCCCTGAAACGATTGTCCCTCCACCTTCCAGGCAGGTGCAAGTGCAGGTTTGACAAAAGTGAGGGCTCCTGAGCAGGTGAGCAGCTTCCAGCACTGCAATCGTACCTGAGCTGCAGCTGCATCATTGTAAACAGCTGTTCTTTACATCTGAGCATTCTGGAAGTGGATTCTGTGCCATGAAAGGGGAGAAACACTGTTTTTCAAGACTTCTAGGATTTTTAAGCTCAAGTTATCCTCATCTGCCATAAGTCAAGGCCTAAGGACGGTGTGTGAGCAAGTCCCTGAGGGGTCACAGAGAAATGTCTCTGTAAAYATCTYTACCTTGTTCTCTCTGGAAGCTCCKATCMGTGGTTTGGCTTGGGGCTGCTTCTCCTGATTTACTGATTTTGAGATGTCCAGGTAAAATTCTCAATGCAGTTTTCAGCTTCCTGGGGCTAAACTT